CTTTAAGCACACACACACACTGCTGCAGGTCCTTTAAGCACACACACACACACACACACACACACACACACACACTCTGCTGCAGGTCCTTTAAGCACACACACACACACACACACACACCCACCACTGCTGTAGAGTTGTAGGTTTAGATGAGCAGGAAGGAAGAGACACAATGAATTAAAAACAGGAAGTTGAAGCAGTGACAATGCTGCAGTTCCTCACCCCTCTCTCTCTCTCTCTCTCCCTCTCCCTCCACAGTTCCCCAGCCTAATCAACGGACACATGCCTGTCCCCCTCCCAAACCTGGAAGGAACACCCTCCCCTCTGCTCCTGTCCCCCACCACCCACAAATCCTGATTCAGGATCTGTGGGAAGACCTAAAGGATCGTTGATCTCCAGCTGAAAGTTTATCGTCATCATCATCATCGTCATCATCATCGTCATGTTCAGCCGTGCTCACCTTGTTGAATCAAGAGACTTGACCTCATTTTGTTTTTATTCTTTTGCACTTCAGTTGCTCCATATTCACAGCACTTGGTAAAAAGCCATACAGCACGATGTCTGAGAGGCATCTGTGACAACAGCACTCTTCACACGGTCCTGTCCACAGCTGGCAGATGTGTTCTCGCTGTAAAGCTTAAAGTGAAAGGTCAACTATTTTAAACTAGGGTTCTACTGAATGGTTCAAACAGTTACTGTCTTACCTGTCATAGAGTGACCTCAGTTTGGAGTCTACCTCTTCTGATTTCACTGCAGGAACCAGGGCCAAACGGATCACCAGGGTCGATGGTCACCAACAGAACCAGCCCTGGCAGAGAGTCTGAACCTACCTGGAACTTTAAGGTCCAGTTCACAGGGGAGTGCAGTTTATCCACCGTTTCTAAAAACATCCTCTTAAACCTAGAAAACAACCCAAAACACTGTAGTAACCAGGCCAACTGTGGTGCTGCGAAAACCACCAAAAACAAGGAACATGGTGTGGAGCATGTGCACGAAGTGTGCACGTTAGGTGCAAAATAATAAGCACAAGATTTCCGGTCATTTTAGAGGTGAGACTACGACATCATAGTTTCCAAAAGACCGTCTTTGGCTGTTGGCATAAAAGGGTGACACGTCCTGGTTCACTCTGGAACCGGACTAAAAGAAAGCTGAAACCCCTGGAGCACCCAGTCCCTCCAGTTGGTTAGAAATGAGAGAACTGAGGCAGCTTCCTCTGTCGGCACCTTCAGAACCCGTCGAACCAGGACCTGAAGCTGAAACGTGTGCGTTCATGCTTTCTGCGGCTAACCTGCTGTGACGCAAGCTTCATAATCTTTAACCGTCTGCTGAGGTCCACCACCCAAGATCGACGTTGACACAGAAACTCAGCGTTCAGTTGACAAACAAAACGTTAACCACGAACAGCTAAACAGAGTTGATTCATCGTGTTCGAGGGAACCCGAGGGAAACGTCCGACATGTTTAATGTGTAGTTCGTGCTCCGTGTCTCGTTTGTTTCAGACGCTCACGTCTGTGCAGGACGTGTCCAGCTCCACGAGGGAGTTCAGAACACTTCGAGGCAGCGTAAGGACTGACTGGGCTCAGCGTCCGTTTTCTGAAAGGGTCTTGTGTGCAGCTGCTCTGACCAGCTACAAAACCTCAGCAGCTCGTCTTGGAAACAAGACGCCACGGCTGAAAGGTTAAAAAGGTTCACTGTCACCCGATGGAAGCACACGGGCAGAGTTGAACTCTGACCCCACTGACGAGCTAACGGCTAGTCAGAGCAGGGCCACAGTGGGTCGCTCCGGTCCCGATTATTCAAACGCCGTTTTACGAGGCCTTCCATTGATGTCACGTTCCCTTTACATGAGTATTCTGGAGCTCCTCAAATGTCCCAGGCAGGAAGTGCTACAGCTTGCTAGCTGCTGCTATCGCTGCTTACAAATAACCACGATGGAAAGTTGGAGGCAATGTAAAGATTCACAAAATGAAAGTGTTTGCATGTCCTCCTGTGAATGTTTTGGGGGTTGAAGTTTTAAGAAGCGATCCACTTTGGTCTTGGCCCTGCTCTGACTAGCCATTAGCTCATCCCTCCAGCCAAAAATTAACCATTTCTCCAAACTGAGGTCGCCCAAAGAGCCATCTACAACAGGTAAGATATTGCCTGTTCATGTCCGTTTCACAGGAGCTCACTTTAACAAAAACCTGAATTGTTTTAACGTGTCTGACTCTATGCAGAGCTTCGTCATTTTATTCTTGTAAAGTCGTGTTTTTAAAGGTAATCACAGCGTGAAAGGACTCGTGGTTTGTATGTAGTGTATGCACTATGCTTCACAGGTAGTACCAGCTGTGCCTTATTGTCCTATTTTTTACTTTATTACTTTAAATGAAGACGAGATTTCACATCAATTAAAAACCTGTTTCCTGTTATCTACTTTTTTATACTGGACTTGGCATACAGTTTGTATCCTGTATGAGTTTTTTTTTTGTATTTGTATTGTAAAAAAAAAAGTGTAATTTTCAATAAAGAAAGCATTGAATGCTCAAATGCAGAGTTTCATACAAACATTTTGCACAGTGGGGGCAAAAACAATTTTATATTAAAGACAAACTGCAGTTTTGGTTCAAACTTTTTGAATTTATTGTGTTTACTCTGGGGGGGGGGGGGAGACATAAAAGATGAGAGGGTCGTTTGCAACAAAAATCCTACACCCAGAAGAATTATTCACAAAGAATGATACAAAAAAAAACATAACACTGTTAAATAAACTGATCCGGCTCAGCGGGGGCAGGACTGGAGCTTCACTGCATGCAGCACGACGGAGGGAAAGGGTCCACGGGAACACTGGACTGAAACGGGAACAGCACGCTGGAGAAATATCAGCAAAACACGAAGGCAGCGATGCAGATCCAACTCTGGGAACTCACACTGCACACCTGGATTATTAGAGACTGCGTCTCACAGGTAACGATGACGTGTTAATATTGAGAACTTCTACCAGTGATGCTCCTAGTACTAATTCTACGTTGCCCTTTCCTCTGCTGCTTGTGAGTCGTGGCGTCCTGGAACGATACGCCAGCATCCAAAGCAAACGAGTCCCGTTTCTCTCCGGATGAAACTTGAAAAAGCAGCTCCGCTCTCGTGTTCAGCTTTCAATCGGGATGAAAGCGATCTGGTTTATGTCTCGACCCTTGAGAGCACGTGGTCACAAATGATTTGCGCCGCTGAGTGCAGCACCGTGGCAACAGAGACATCGAACACCTCCGAACCGCTACAGAAAAATCTCTCCGTCTGCGAGCCGCGCACACCGAGGAGCATTGAAGTGGAGGTAAATATTAATAAAAAGGAAAAAATAAATCTTAAAAATCTATACACATGGCATGTATTCATTAAAGTGACTGAGCCCGTTAGAATTCTAGACAGTAGTTGGATTTAGCAGCAAATGTTTCAATAAATATAGATGTACAGAATATAAAGGTCTCTTATTGGAGCCGGGTTCACAAACGGACCCGGGCGGAGGTGAGGAAGGGTCGTGCTGCGGACGCGTCTCCCCCAGGAGTTGGCCGTGGAGGAGGAGGAGCGATGACGACAATGTTCAACCCTGACATCCATCTCTGGGCACTGATCCATCGCGTGGAGATCCTTCCCATTACAAAAAGTCCAGTCCAGAAATTTTAAAACAGCATGCTTTGTCTTCTGCTCTTTCCGTTGCCTGGTTCAAAACAGACAAAGACACATTTCAACTATTGTTGTCATATAAAACATGACTCGTGTCCACATACTGGACCTACACTTGGAGCGACAGCTCTGACAGAACCATCAGAGTAAACAGGAAGTACGACCCCACAGGTTGATTTGTAGGGGTCTTCAGTTGTTTTAGTTTACAAGTTCAATTGTGTCAAATTAGTTTTACGGATAATGAGCTAAAGTTTGTTGTGGTGGTAGCTGAGAGTCATCCCATCACAAGCTCCAAGCACCGACTCCATGACGTCTCTGAAACTTTGGCATGCAAGGTGGTGGGAAACAAGCATCACTTCAAGAAATGCACGTTGTTAATTTGTTCTGCAGTTTCAGCTTCACCAGTTGAACAACGTGCAGCTGGTCTACTCCAAACCATCACAGCCAGCACAAACAACAAACTTCACCTCCTGCTGCATGTGTTGTTTCATATCCGATCTCTTTCTCCTCCTCCTCCCTTCAGTCCTCACCTGATTCTGGGTACGAGGAGTTCCGGTAGCCGGGGTCTTTCTGCATCTGTATCTCCTTCAGTGTAAATATGGACATGTCTGAAAGTAAACGACGAGTGAGTTTAACAGGAGTCACCTGAGAGCGTCAGAGGCTGGAAGTGATCCTCTCTGTAGGATGTTTTAAAAGAAGCCTCCAGGTCGAGCTGCACTACAGCATCACTAAGTGATTACTCACTCTCTGGCAGCGTTTGCACACGTGGCCCCAGGCTCCTGAAGTACGGATGCCTCATCGCTTCATCAGCAGAAATCCTCTTTTTCGACTCGTACTGAAAATGAGGACAAATGGAAGCAACCCACAGCTGTTACAGATTAATTATAAATGGGCCAGGAAGTGTTCGCCGGCACTGATTTTAAAAAACGCAGCCATGTCAGACAGATTTGTAACTAACCCTGTACTCGATTTCGATTAGAAAAACTCACTTTGAGGAACGAGGCGAGCAGTGGGATTCCATCGTTGTCCAGCCTGCGGGGAGGAGGGAGAGGGGAGAAGAGAGTGGGGTCAGTAAGGTGGGGGTGACTCACTGATGCTGGCGGGTGTAAGGAAGGAAACTGAGCCAAACGTAGTCAACTATTCCACAGGATTTCCTTACAGGAAGTGACAGAGAGCGCACACTCCTAACTAAACAGCTCTACTAATGTCTACAAGCTGAACACACGAGCTCTTGGTTTTTATACCTGGCTCTCAGGGGGAATATTTGCTCACTCTCTTCTCCAGTGATTAGTGAACTATCAAGAAAGGCGAGCGGGTCGTGTTAACGTAAAAGGGCGTGATCGCTTGTTAAAGTGTAAAAACCATCACAAACGTCCAGTCTCACCTGGGCGCGTGGTTAATCAGAGGCTGGGCTTTGTACTTGGGGAACTTGTAGGACTTGAACTCGTCGATGGAGGAGATTCCAGGCCAGCTGTCTTCTGTGGGAGTGCCTGTGGGGGGGACATTCAGTGGACTCTTTTAGAATCAGGCTTCATCGCGTCAGCTGGAGGGGCTTTTAACACCGTGAAGAGGAGGGGGGCCCACATGCCAGCTTTAATACGACTCCAGGCTTGTATTAAAAGGGTTAAAGTCCATCAGCAGGGGGCAGCACTGACCTAACAGCCTGAAGATGAGGTGCAGCTCGTCCTCCACTGTGGAACCGGGGAACAGGGGCCTGCCAGCAGCCATCTCAAAGAATATACAGCCAACACCCCTGAAAGAATCAGACAGGAGGGGGGAAATGTCATGAAGAGATCAGCGATGTTTGACCCAATTAACCTCTCGTGTGTTCAAATAATGTGGCTATCAAAGCCGTAGATCTGTATCTGATCATTTTATGTTGTGCCTCCACAGTGCAAACATAGGCTGGCAACAGTTAAACCGCCCCCCCAGCAGAGTGAGGCCCACTCACCACATGTCTATCTGTGTGGAGTACTCTGAGGAGCCCAGCAGCACATCAGGAGGTCGGTACCAGAGCGTTACCACCTCGTTAGAGTAGGTCTTAGTCGGTACGGACTTGGCCCTCGCCAGGCCTGGGGGGCAGAAACGTGGAGAAATAATCAGGAAGATCCAACAAACAAACATGATCATAATCATCAGGCAGTGTTAGTAAAATATGTATTTTGCAACATTGTTGATTTGTAAACAAAAATGTAAATAAATATCAACATTTTTTTCTTTATACTTTTATGTTCTAAGACTGGTGTCACGACTGACTACAGAATTGATAACTGCCACTTCAACCCTGACAATTAATTTAAACATACACAAAAACAAACAAACAAACAAACAAACAAATCACCAACTTTTTATTTATTTATTTTTACCAAAGTCAGCCAGTTTGAGTTCCCCTCTGTCATTGATGAGCAGGTTCTGGGGCTTCAGGTCTCTGTGGAGAACTTTCCGTCTGTGACAGTAGGCCAAGCCTCGCAGGATCTGGAACAAAAATATCTAAAAACAAAAAGACTTAAATTAAGGCTGAGCATTTCAACAATCTAAATAACTTTACTGAATTATAACTCTTCTTCAAACAGACAGTACCAAAAATAAAAAAGACTTTGGGAAAAATTATATGGCTGATATCAGTAATCACCACCAGGGGGCGCGCACAGTGCTGGAACCAGTCTCAGCAGCCAAGAAGTCCTGACAGATGCAGGCTGGCTGTGAAGGCTCACCTTGACATTGTGCATGCTCAGGATGTTCCCGCAGTCGTCCATGTACTGCTTAAGGTCTTTGTCCTAGAAAAAAGGAGGTTGTTAGAGAGGCAGCAAACAACCACTCCTCTGCAGAAGGTCATGAACAATAACAATAATGTGAAATGCATAAATGTTTGCAGCCCTGAAGAGAAGACCAGGACGAGTCAGAACCAAGGTGAGTGCAGAGGTTCATCCAGCCTCACCAGGTATTCAAACACCAGTGTGAGCGACTTGTCCGTGTGGACGATATCGTGCAGCGTCACGATGTTGGCGTGCTTCAGGTCCTTCAGTAAAGACACTAGAAACAAAAAACATGACAAACATTAAAAACTGGTTCACCCATTCTGAACCAATAAATCACAAATTGCAGCTTTTAGTGTCGGTGTGATATTATGAGCTTAAACGAGGCGATGAAGCTCGCTCAGACTATCGCCCGCTGCCTTTCATATACAGTCCATCTGTATTAGTCTGTTAGCAAAATATCTCATGAACCACTGGACCAATTATCCTGATGCATGCTCAATAATCCAGGTAGAAAAATCCAAAAAAGTTCAATCTGGTCCTCTGGACATTAAAAAACAAACAAACAAAAAAAAAAGCAATAAAATATAGAAACGTTTCGTCTCTCATCCGAGAGACTTCCTCAGTCTGAGGTGCTGTTTTCAGCTCAGTCTCTTAAATAGCACCTTCTCAGAGTGGATCAACCAGTTTGCTGCTGACAACCAAAACCAGCTGATCACATGCTCAAGAAGGACCATCAGCCTAACAATGGATCATTAGCACACTGATGGCTGTTTACTACTCACAGAGGGCTGAGTGATACTAGCAATCACAGCATTGTAAGAGGGGGACAGTTGAACCCGGAGGCCTCCAGCCCTGTTTAATGATGGACGATTTATTTTCACAAAGAAGGAGGCCATTTTGTGAAAGACCATGTGATCAGCTGGTTTTGGTTGTCAGCAGCAAACTGGTTGATCCACTCTGAGAAGGTGCTATTTAAGAGACTGAGCTGAATACAGCTCCTCAGACTGAGGAAGTCTCTCGGATGAGAGACGAAACGTTTCTATATTTTATTGCTTTGTTTTGTTTTTTTGTTTTTTTTTGAATGTCCAGAGGACCAGATTAAACTTTTTTGGAGCACTGGACCAATTGTAATGAAATTTGCAGAAAATAATCTTCGGATGAACAACAAGTTGGAGTCAACCCAACTCAAGATGGCTGCCACAGCCAACTGAGGTTAAAACACAAAAATGAATATAATTCAGTCAATTTTAAAGAGAGTGAAATACAGTTAGGTGTGGTAGTAGCTGAGAGTCATTCACAACACGCACTCCAAGTGTGACAGATCACCAGTGCATAACGATATTTTCAAGGTTTGACCCAAACAGCAACAACTTCCTGTTTTCTCAGTTTCAGCACTTGTGAACGTAACGCTGGTCTTTACTTTAAAGAGAGTTCTGCTGTTAACTTGTTAATTCAGTCAGAATTCAATTATTCCTCCAAACTGAGGCTGCTCAAAGGGCTATCTGCAACAGGTAAGACACTACCTGTTCATAAGCTTATCTACAACAGGTAAGACACTACCTGTTCATAAGCTTATCTTCAACAGGTAA